GGCCAGGAGCCCCTAGTAGCTTCTTTGCTCCTAGTAGTAAGGCCAGGTGCCCCTAGTAGCTTCTTTGCTCCTAGTAGCTTCTTTGCTCCCGCCTAGCAGCTTCTTTGCTCTTAGTAGTAATGCCAGGAGCCCCTAGTAGCTTCTTTGCTCCTGGGCCAGGGGCCCCTATTAGCTTCTTTGTTCCTAGTAGTAAGGCCAGGAGCCCCTAGTGCAAGTGCAAGGCAGCGACCACCTTTCAACATACGGATAGGGGGGGGCCCTTGGGCCAGAGAGTACCAACGGTATCGATGTGTACCGATGGATATCGTGAAACTTGCAAGCCCGGCTCTGATGAACCTGGGTGATCAGAAAAGAAGTGAGGTCTTACGAGACGCATCGCTTTCGGGATTCAGTCGAGAACGGACTTCCCCATCTGAGCTCGTTTCCTACCCGAAAACATCTCTTGATCCTCAACAATTCGCCATCTCTGACCCAATTGAACAAATCTTCCCATTTGCACATCTTCACCCCTTTTAGTTAAAGTGTTCGCCAACATCGCCTGAGAACTCACCCACCGAACTCTCAAGTGTGTGCGTGTTTGCGATTCCTTGATCGCCAAAAGTTCAAGATCCACCCTACGTTGAGCGCCTTTGGGGGTCACATATGGCCTCTCAACACGATCGTACACGTTTCGACTGTCTGTGATGAGCACGCCACCGACTTTCGAAACATGTGAATCGATGTCATGAACATTCGCTTCATGCCCCATGACTTCACCCCATTGAAATCGAAGCATATGCAGAATGTCATCCCCGTCCACGGCGGCTCTAGCCTCGGCCGCGCCTGGTGACCTACAAATTCTGTCTATTTTTCCACTTTGCCAAAACCAGGGGGAAACCTTGTCAATTTCACCATGTTCCAACCTAGCCCCAGACATGGCCACAAAGATTCCTTTCGTGCTACCTCCATCATGTCTGTTCTGTGAGCTAGCGTCCGTCCAGCAGTACAGAAAAGGAAGGATTTTCAGAGGTTCATGTGAGGCTCCTTTGATCTTGTTCAACAACAGGTTCACTTCCAACAAAGTTTCCACAGTGCTCTTGTTAACTTCCGAAAGAAACAAGCTAGTGTACGCCGCAAATCGATAGCCAATCTGGTTGGTATGCCAGCTGAGTGCTCCCAAAAGACCTCTCAGTTCAGTTTTCTCTTGGGGCGTCGTTTCCTCCTTTGGAGTACGACGGCGGTCCTTGGACACATTGATTGGCTGTACTTCTTCAAGGTATTTTACCTGGTCTAGATGGAAACTGCCGTCTTCTTGTGCGTGTACTCGTACACCGCACTGAACGAAGTCTCCTGTCTCCCATTCACCCCAGGCAAATCGTTTTTGGATTTGAGTTTTTGCGTCAAGCCACTGTTTGTTGTCCGGAAGGCCACAGAACATGAAATCATCCACGTGTCCTGACACCAGGGCTATGGTTTGACGATCTGTATCTCGCAACCGCCAACAACAAGGATCAGATTTGAGCTGTTCAAATCCCTGTGTTTGTAAGTAGCTGTTCATCGTCTCAAACCATTCGATCGGTGCCTCAACCAAACCGTAGCAAGCTTTTCGCATTTTCACGATGCTTTCTGTTGGCAGGTTCATAGCTTGACATATTTCTGGTGTCGGTATGAGGTATAGCTCCCTTTCAAACTCTCTCCCCTGAAGGAAAGCTGCAGCGACATCTCCCTTGTGAACAAGAGCGTCATGATTGGCGGCCCATTGCAACAGCACCTGTCGACTCTGTCTTGTCATAGTTGGAGCAAACGTCGGTCTGTTGGCATAGTCGGGATCGAGAAATCCCAACACGACGGCTCTTGCTTTTGGCTTGAGCGTGCCATCATCTTTCTTTTTCCAGGTCAGTACCCAGCGCATCCTCAATGCCTGAGAGCGGTTTGGGCGTAGATGTGGTGGAAGTGCCTGTAACGCTTCTGCCGCCACAAACTTATCCACCTCAACCTGTTTTGCACCGCTGAATTGTTCGTGTTCTTCAGCTGACATTCTGCGTTCTGACACCTCAATGCTCCGGCGTTTGAGAGCACTGATGAAGAAAGCCTGACTGTTCTTGAAGAACTTTTTCCAATTCCGGTGTTGTGTTGGCAATTCCACTTCTATCTCTACTGCTGCGTTTGAGGAATTGTTCCAAAAATTGCACACCTCTTCTTGCCAAAATCCACTTTGCACTTCATCCACCCAGTGTGTGCCTGATGGCATGGGTGTTCTCTGTCGACTGCGGCTTCTACCTCTTGTTGCCTGAGTTGTAGGCGATGTTCGTGTTTCACCTGCCTCAATGTCTGACGTTGGTAGAGAGGGAGTGTAGTCACTGTCAACATCCACCAAGGTCTTGTCAAGTCTGGGTCTTGAATCTCTTGTGATCGATTCGGTCACAGCTGGTCTCTTTGTGTCATAGCGTCTCCGACCTGTGGGATGGTCTGTGGTCTGTCCTTCTTGTGGATCCACTGAGGAACTTTGTGCGAATGTTGGTCCTGTCCCAGTGTGGTCATAGTATTCTCCCTTTTGCAGGTCAGCTGCTATGCCCGTGAAGGTCCAAGGCAGGTGTAGTGGTTTGTTCAGCTCGTGGAGGCTAGCTTCACGTGCTGATGCATGTCTCACCTGTTCTAAGGCTACCTTGATCAATTTGGTGCCTCTCACTAACCACACGACATTGCTAGGATGGAGTCGATGATCCTCATCCTTCTTTGTCTCAACTGCCAGCACCCGTGCTGGTCCGAGGTACACACCTCGGTTCCACGAATGGTTCTCATTGGCTGGAACCGTGGTGCGCCAGTAGAACACCAGGTCCCCGGGAGTGACCACCTTGGGTTGGTACTTCCGGGAGTTGCGTGCACGAGTGAGTTTCTCTTGTAGTTGCCAATCAATGAAGACCTTGGCAGCACTGGCCCTAAGTTGAACCGCACTGTCGTGTTCGTCATCTGGGTTTTGCATCATCTCCATCGGGAGGTCATGCACTCGATTGTCGAATAGTCGTCCTTCCGAGTCTGGTGTTCTGCCCAGAGCATGTTGGAAAGGACTGTAACCACGAACATTCTCATGTTGGTTCCAGACATAGGTTGCTTGTGCCAAGAGTTGTTCCACACTGGAGTCGTCCGTCTCTCCTACCAGTTTGCTCAACAGTTCTTTTAGCCACCCAATGCTGCGCTCCACATGTGAAAGATTCCAATGTGCTTCCGCAGGGATGACTTCCTGTTGAATACCATGTTTGTTGAAATAGTTCACAATCTCATGCGCCCGCCAAGCTCCTTCCGGATCACTTCGAACAACATCCGGGATTCCAAAATAGGGTTTCCAGCGTTGGTCAAAAACTTGCACATACTCGGATGGAAGGATCACTCTTTTCATGTTGTTTGACAGGGCCGTGACCATGAATCTACTTGCTTCATCCAGGATCACTACAAACTGGTATTGTTTCTTCGTTCTCGGGTCTCTCCAGAAGGCCGCGTCCACTTGGACGCTTCGCCACCGGTCTGTGTGCACATGTAGGTTTGCCCGCTTGCGAGGGTCTGGTCGTTTTCGTTCCTCACAAGCACTGCATCGGTACGATTTGGCCAAAGCCAACACTACAGGTGAAGCTTTGTGTTTATGGAGGGCCTGAACCAAAAGGTGATAGCTACCGTGTCCGGTTGAACTGTGAATCAGAGATATGTGACTCATGATTTTCTCCCTTTCTCTAGCACTCACCTGTTTCATCAACTCTTGTTCTTCCGCATTCAGATCTTCCAAAATCAAATCCTTGTGTTCTCCCACAAAAATGTTTCCCTGTTCACCTAACATGCACCGAAAACAACACAGTTCTCTGTTCCAAAGCTGAACCTTCCGACACTCACACGACGTTTCGAATCGACTCGATCGTTCCGTGTCAGTCCGTCCGTCCTGAATCCAACACTGAACATCGCTCGTGGAAACCAAATGTGACATGTGGTGAACCGCTCTCCTAGCAAACTCTTCCGTGTAGAAGGCCGTTTTCCTCGTGATAGATCCCTCACAAACAGCATGCGGTAACTCGTGTGGTTGACATTTACAAGTGTTGTGCAACAACCTAGCCAGTCTTTCATTGGTCACCTCGAGCCTCCACTCTTTTCCAATCTTCCTACCAGTTTTGGGATCACGCATGTTCACTTGGCAACCTGAAATGATGGCAGTCGACGTTTGATGTTTGTTTCGCCATTTGTCCATGGGTTCCCACTTCCATGCACGGCACCGACGACTCCACTCCCAAATCACGGTGATGCCTAAGTGAGCGGCGGCTTCAGCCACCAACAAACCACCTATGTGTTGTTTTCGAGCGTCCGTTTGTTTTTGTTTCAACTGTTCGACTTGTTGCTCCGTTCGTTGATTGCAGTTCTGCATGGGACTGAACGCTCCACATTCGGTGGCGATCCAACAAAAACGTGGTTTCGTTTGTTCAAGAGTTTTGATCGTTTTGCGAACCCCTTCCCCGGTGGACAGATCATATCCATTCCAGATCGAGAGTCGTTCGGCTTTCAGACCCTTGCGCATAGCTTCTTTTGCCAACACCGAGTCGGTCGAACATGCCACTTCGATCAAAAACAATCGGTCCTGAGAATGCTCAATCAAGGCCTTCCAGGCCTGGGGAATGAGCTGTTCACTCTGGTCCTTCAAATTATGATATTTGCTATCTGGAAGTGGCGTGGCACACTCACTCACTGCGCATCCGCAAGGTGCTCCACTTTTTCGAAGCCTTCCGTGGAACGACTTGCCGAACTGCGTGTCTTGCGAGATTTCTCCTGCTGCAGTTCCTCCACATTGCGCTGGAGTGTCCCCACCGTCATCGCCAGCGAGCGCATCACCTCGGTCATCTCTGCCATCTCGGGAGATGAGGGAAGACCTTGTATCTTCATGGGAGGAGGTGTCACCGGCGGTGGCTGCTCCGGTTCGGTTGGATAGCCACTCTTCTTGTCGGGCGTGTTCTTCATGGTGAGTGCCTCCTGAATCGTCTTGGGCTCGCGAGGAGTGGTGCTCATTTCGTCCTTGTCCATCTTCTCGGCCCACAGGGCCAACTGTCGAAGCTGCCAGTGGCTGTTGTCCTTCTTCTGGACCTCTGATTTGGCCCAGTTCAGGTACTCCGGATCTGACAGGGCAATCTCCTGAAAGGTCATGCCATTGCATCGGCCCCCGAGCTTGTACACGGTCTCCCCCGTGCCAGTGTTCAGAGCCCATGACTTCAACTCGAGCCGCATTTCTCCCACGCGAAACTTGGCCGGCAGGCTGATCCCCCGCTTGGTGCACATGTCGCGAAGTTCCGCCAGATTGGCTTTGTTCACCTGACGTAGGAAGTCTTGCTCCTCTGACTCCTTGTCCGGAGTGAGACCCGTGTGAACCCGAGCCTCCCGAACGAGCACCCTCACCTCCGGGAGTGAGTACTCCTTGGCATTCTTGATCTGGTGGCCGCCCGACGTCAACTCGTCGAGGCATTCTTGCTTGGTCATCAAGTAGTGTGGTTTCATCGTTCCATTTCCCCACGTGGTCACTGTCGATGCCATGACTCAAAAAGCTGGACGCTGAGTCGAAGGCTTGAGTGCGGACCGGAGGTTTGATCTGAGGAACTCGCGAATGAGCGTGGTGTGATGATGCCACTTCCGAACGATCCGACATGTGTGTGTGCATTGACTTGTTGTTCCTACTCGAACGCTCAAGATCACTCGCCACTTCGTTTCTGTTAGTTTCATGAACCTCATGCATGTCATGTACCTTCGACACCTCAGGGTTTTCGGGGTTGCCGTTCCGAGCTGAATCCCTACTCACGCTTGCGAATCTGCCTGGTTTCTTTTCCACCTCACAGCCGGGTTCAGGCAGCCCCGAGCTGAGTCCGGATCCCTATTCATCATTCAAAAGTTGGGCCAAGCTCTGCGCGGCCCTCGGAAAAACACGACCTTCCGCCATGAAATCTTGCGTCAAAGGGATCAGTTGATGACCCGCAGACGAACGGCGAAGGGAAATCAGCTTCTGTGCATTGACCTGGGTGAACACTGCTTCATCATTCTTAAAGTCGATGATTGCACCCAGTTTCCGCAGGGTGTCAACAGAGATCAAAACAGGAGCCCGACCTTGGTCCAGCGCATGGATGCGCAAGCTCATTGGCTGTTCCTGTGTGGGCAGCCTGACATAACATGTTGAGACACAGCGATTCTGGTCACTGTTCCCAAACCCAAACAACGGCCTATCGGAAGTGTCTACCTTGACAATGCCAGGAAGCTGTTGTTCCTTGCACTGTTGCTCTAAACATTCTAACGCATGGATGGAAGCCATGGTTTTGGTCGCTCCTCCATCCAACACCCCGAAGCCAGCCGTCACTGCCTCATCAGTACTCGGAGCCGGGACACTGCCCAACATTTCCACACCAGAGCTGGCCGTAGATGAACTCAGAGTGTTCCTCGGCTTCGAAGGATGTGACATCACTGCCGGAAGCCTCCGACTTTTGTGGACAGAATTTGGTGTCATGTCCCTTTCCGCATCGAGCACACGGACCATAGCTCTTCTTTCCTTGGCCCTTGCCAAATGCCTGCCTTTCTCCCATGCGACCGCCAAACGGCTTTCGCTTCACCTCAAAGAATTTGCGACCCATGCGAACTTCATGTTGTTTGGCACGAGCCTCCTTGAGAGTCTGTCGACCCTGTTGGATCTGAAGCCATGCTGCTTCCTCTTCTTCCTTGGCCTGTTGGTAGAAGACCATGGCCTCCTCAGAGAGATCCTCGAAGAAGCTCTCATCCTCTGGTTGGCCACCGGTCTCATCGAAGTCCTCCTCATTCTCGAACATGGCATGGGGTGGTTCGCCGTCTTTCTTCTTGATGGCATCATCAGTGAAGTGGCTTCGCAAGGCATTCTCCACGGACTGGAGTGAAAACCTGTTGCGGACTTCACTTTGGATCAAGCTGCGCTCCATGTGGTCAATGTTTGCCTTTTCCAGCAACAGCCAGCCCTTGATGACATCAGGTAGGATTTCAATGAAGTCTTCCTCATCATCGCTGTCCTGTTTCCCAGCCGGTTCCGACTGAGCTGATGGTTGTTCATGCCATAGATCTTCTCCTGACCAATCCCAACCCATATAGGGTTGGTACCACCACCACCAGGCGTCTGTATAGTCTGGCCACTCCGTCTCCTCCGCCGTGTGGGTCTCTTCGTCACCACCAGTAGGTTGTTCTCCCACGTGTGACGGTGTCTCCGAGGCACGTTCACTGGACTCCCCTGTCTGTGTTGAACGTGCTTCTGGACGAATGGTATTGGGCTCAAGCGTGGACTGTGAAGACCTGCGTCCGGAGTGCCAGGCATGTTTTGGGTGTAGCTCTAGCTGGTTCTGTTCTCGCATGACTCGAGTCATTGCCTTGCATGTACGAGCATATTCTTCACGATGCCTGACACAGAAGGCGGACATGGTTTCACCCTTGCGTCGACGGAGGAGTTTGAAGTACACCTTCAACTGGTTCGCAATCTCCGGTAGGGCCGGTTCGGCCATGGCATCCCTGAGGCAATGAATGAGTTTCTCAACACCATCGCTTCGTGGGAGCCAGCCGCGTTTCTTGTTCCCGATAGCCGCCTTCGCGGCACCCGAGAGCTCAGCAGCCAAGCGTGGTCCACAGAGATATCTATTCTCCCACTTGACTGTGTCCTCATACAAAAAGGCTGCACTTTTGTATTCCGACCATGTTGATGGGTTTCCGTCCCATCCCGGAATGCCATCTTTTCCTTTTGACACTGTCATCCCCAAAGCAGCGATTCGATGCGAATCCCCTGGATCTTCTAGGCCTCGAGCGCTTTCGACTCACGGAAGCCCCACCCCCTCGGCGACGAGCGGGGGTGAGGCTCCGCTACCATGCAAGTGCAAGGCAGCGACCACCTTTCAACATACGGATAGGGGGGGCCCTTGGGCCAGAGAGTACCAACGGTATCGATGTGTACCGATGGAT